TCCTCGATGCCGGTCCCTGCCGCAGGATCTCCTGCAGGTTCGTATAACGAGGGGGTGAAAGGGGTGTTTGCTGAAATCGGAGAGGATCCGAACAATAAACAATCTCCATCCCGCCCTGCCCCAGAGAAACCCTGCTACAAATCCCCCCCCAACAGACTTTGCCCCACACCTCCCCCGAAAACTGTCACGCAACAAAATACACAGCAGCAATGTGCACAGCCGGGGAAGGGGGGGACGGGAGGGATTTCTCCTGCCTCCTCCCCCCGCAAATAAAAGAACAAATTGCTGTAACTTTTGCGAAAGCCAAGAAAGAGAGGGATTCGGGGGAGCCGGGCTGTGCTGGCTCCAGCGGGGGGACCTGGCAGCTGAACCACAGCTCCAATTGCCTGACTTTTTTCTTTCCCAGTCCTGTATTTTTAAATTTTTATTTTTTTAATATTTTTTTTACAGCCTACAGGGGGAAAAAAAAAAACCAAACCAAACAACAAAGGTCCCTTCCAGCCCCTAAGATTCTATGATTCTATGAAACGAAATCAAACCGAAAAAAAACCCAAACAAACCCAAACAACAAAATCAACAAACCAACAAAACCAAAACCCCCAAAGAGCCCAGAGGTATAAATAGGCGGGTGGGTAACGCAGGGGCTGCTGCCAGCAGGATGGAAAGAGCGACATTACAGTAGGGAGAGGCAGCTCCCCATTGCAAAAGAAAATAAATACCCCCCCAACCTCCCCAGTGAAGCAATAGCCTCTCTCCCAGGCGCCCCTTGGCCGGGCAGCTCAGCAGCCCTGGCCAGAGACTCTCCTTCCCCAGGGACAAAATGTTTAAGGCACGATCCACTGTTTGAGTATTTTAATGGCACCGTTCAGGTAAACGCTCCTGCAGGAGCAGGGCGGGCACCGGAGCTCATTGGCCAGATAACACCGGAATAATGAAACCAAAGCCCCGCCGCGTCCGTCCCCGAACCCCTGGAAAAAAAGAAAGGAAGGAATGGGGCGAAATTCCCCTTGTTCTCAAAGGTGTCAGAGAGGGAAGGTCTCAGAGAGGCCAGGGAGCACAATCCTTTCTTTTCCTTGGGGCAACGGGACCAGGGAGTGATTTCCAACCCTCTTCCACAGGGGAAAGATCGTGTTCGTTGGTGCGGGGCTCAGATCTGCCTGCCCGCAACAGGGAGGGAACGGACCCGGACCCTCCACTTGCCCTCTCTCCCTCTCTTTGCAACGTGCGTTTTTTTATGTATTTAAGATATCCAGGGGCTGGCAGACACCAGCGGCTCCAGGAGGCTCCGGACCGCGTACACCAACACGCAGCTGCTGGAGCTGGAGAAGGAATTTCACTTCAACAAATACCTCTGCAGGCCCCGGCGGGTGGAAATCGCGGCTCTGCTCGATCTCACCGAGCGGCAAGTCAAGGTCTGGTTCCAGAACCGCCGGATGAAGCACAAGAGGCAAACCCAGTACAAAGAATCCCCCGACGGGGACCTCGCCTACCCCAACCTGGACGAGGGCAGCGATCCCGCGGAGGAGGCTGAGGAGAGCCCGTCTTTCGGGCCAGCTCCGGAGCCCAGAGGGCCCTACCAAAGCAACAAACCGGGGAACGAAGAGCCCGAGAGCCCCCGGTTCGCGGTGGCCGGGGCGGAGCGGGAGGCTGCGGGGGGGCCCGGC